GGAAGAGCAGCGAGATCGAGGACGACCTGCATTTTTAAATCCGCGCTTTTTCGAACAGGCTTTCGAAAGAGGTGAATCCGCCGACTTCGCGAAGCTATCGCGACCGGAGAGACCACTTTCTTCGAAACGTGACGCTTCTCATTATCGCGTCTCATTATTTACCCGCGCTGTTTTACGAGCACGTGCTATCGCGATGTATACGCCGTGCGTCGCGCGGCAGGATACGACGGGCGGAGATGAAAATTTACATAAAATTTTCGTTCCCGCTCGCCTCCGATCGATTATATTTTTAAACAACGGATCGCTCACGCCATGCTGTCGGTCAGCTGGCAATTCGGCGATCGAGAACTGAAGAACACATTATCACAATCATAGACACGAAAGTAAAAATTATTATCAATACTAAAAAGTAATACTAAAATAACAATGATAATAAAATAAAAAAATAATAGAAATATATATTAGAAAATTTTGTGTTAAAAACGGCCTACTGCAATTTTGTGTTACTTTAATATGGGAAATGTGTTAGAAAATACACGTGTAAACGTAAACAGTGTATCTGCAAATCGACAAATAACGGGACAAAGTTTGGTTTTTAAGATATGACCTTCAGAAGATAACAACGATGAAAGAAAATATATCGCAATAAGAAGGCTAGGATACTAATATAACATTTTTTTACCTATTCTTGAAAATAACACCTATCAATTTTGATATTCATGAATATTAAGCAAAGAATCATTTATGAGACATTACGATGACGACAATAATGAAGCAATATTCGAACATATATGCGACTTTATTCCACATATGTCAATTATGCATTAATAAGGAAGACAGACATTTTGAACAATTTTTATAACGATATATATTTAGTTACTTATTTGTGTAAAACACGATTTTTAATGAATAAAATATATGTTTTTAAACTGAGATTGCAAGAATTGTATTTTAGAAACTAAGTGTTCGAGAATAAATATATAATATTTACTAAGATTTTTATTTTTTTATGTAGAACCTATTCTGTGAGTTTGTCGGTGGAGTTCAGATACACCCTGTATAACGTTAAATTAACATATTCACCTTATTAATATATGTTATGTACTTTTTAACACATTCACCGTGCTAAAGTAACACAAAATTTCAGTGAACCGTTTTTAACACAAAGTTGTTTACTGTGTAAGAAAATAAAAGAAAATAATATATATTTCAACAATATCTGGAGAGTTTGTAGTTTACAAAATTCCGGTGGGCACGATTACAAGATGGTAATTGTGCCAGACCGACCAACTTCTCATCGACCTCATGACAATGTCGCGCCATTAGACCCGCAAAATCGTGCTTATGACTGTCAATCGAGCTTACCGTACGTGCCCAAGAAGCATAGCGTCCTCGTGCTCTTGACAGAACTGAGCAAATAGCGTTAAGCCGCTTAACTGCGACACGTAAATAAGATTACATCCAGCAGACTGCGGATTTGCAAATAATTAGACTGTAAATGAGTCTTGCGCCTTGGAGTTGTACCGAATGTATCACACAATTCGCAAGTTCTCTCGCACTCGCAAATACGACGCGCGACGGATCTGATCGAGGGAGAACTCATTTTTTCATTAATAACGGTCTCGTCGTTTTCGGGCACGCAGGAGGTTTCGAGAGAAGCCGCCGAGCCCCGAATCGCGACAATCGGAAATCGCAGTTTCCTAATTTCGCGTGCCCTCTTTTTCGAGATGTCATCGGATATCATTGCGAAATGTTTTAACTGCGAGACGTTCGTGCTCACAATTGTTTGTTCCACATAAACGTAAACAGAGTAAAATTTTGCCAATAGCATCCTAATTTTTTCCTGCAAAGTTATTATCTGCACGGAATTATAAATACTTTTATACAGTGAAAATACGCGCGAGAATAAATTGGAGTATTGCTCAGTATATAACGAAAATGATTAAAAATTTCAAAGTGACATCTCTAATTGTCAGTTGGCGTAAATATTTACCTGCAGCTCGTAAGTATCGAATGTATCAATACTCCGATCAGGAAAATTTCAAAGAACATTTTCACACCTTTTCAGTGAAGTTTAGCTTAAAATAAATACGAAAATTTTGCAAAGCGCTACAAAGGCCACAGTACTATTTTCTTCTCCAGTAATTAGCTAAAAAGCGCCCGCGTCTGTGTTGGTCTAGCAATGAATAAAATAAACGTTGTAGAAGTTTCGAATAATTCGAGAATTATATAGAGAGTTCCCTCCTACAATTCGCGACAGTTAATTTCAATGACAGCTTCTCCGAAAAGAATGGAGCCGGCATTTACTCAACGAAAACGTCGCCGTAATCGAAACGCTTATCGGTAATGTTATATTGGCCGCGCAATTTCTACTCATCGAGTCAATCGTCGTGGCGTTACGAGACGGTGGAGATCACGGCGAGACCGTTTTTCGAACACTTTCTGTTTACACTCGACATCAGATCACACATCGCGTGGACGAACGAAAATGGCCGTCAACAGGGCAGAAAATTCGTGAACTGTACGTAAAAAGAAAGAAGAACGCAGAAAAGTCGCGAGAAATGATAACCGCGGCGCGAGCGATAAGCGCAATTTTAGCTCTCTAAAAATATCCTCGATACGTTCGCGCAGCGCAAGAATGATGAAATACTGCACGCACTTCGTGCCGCCGTTTTTTTTCCTTTTTTTTGCGAGATAAAAAACACAACGCTCGTAATGCGAGTCTCAAGATTGTAGCTCGTTTAGCCGATATATGTAAATCCGCGGCGTAACCGTTGGGAAGCAGATAAATATAAATCGGGTATGCTAATCGCCGAATTTGCTCGGATTACGGGTGCGCGCGGTAAATAATCAGAGCGTGTTAATTTGCGCGGTAAGAAAAGCGACGGCGGCCTCGAACGTCATTTACATTTAATATCGCATCTGAAGGTTGCCGAATTCCGCGAGACATTATCCGTTACACGATCCCTTGGCTGACGTGTTCGAATTCGCGCGACTGCCCACGTGTTGCGCGGAGGCTATATTCGTGCAAATTTAATTGACCTATGAGAAATTGGATTCCACACTCACACACCGTTCCGGAGGTATCCGGAATAAAGTGTGATCTGGTATTTAAAAAGATCCGAGAAAATGTAAAGAATTCCAGAAGGAAAGGAAGGAATTATTCCCTGCGACATCAATCAAGGCTCACCTTTGGCTTAGGCTTGTAAAAAAAGGGCGAATTTTAAAGGAAGGAAAGTTTTGTTAACAAATGTTACGAGAGATTGATTAATTCTAACTGCGCACGCCGTGTTTTACGTGAGCCATCGTAAGGAGATGCGTTAAGAAGAGATGTACACATTTAGTTCCCAAGAATAATGACTAATGACGTCGCGGTTAATTTCTTCCTCATACCGACCATGAAATTTTCCAGAATTACTCGTGAAATCGCATTAACGTTAATTAGTGATCATCTCACGCATCCCAGCGTATCTCAGCGCTCACAGACTAAATCTAAGAACGTCGCATCTTCAATTCTACAGCATACCGTCATAATACATTGAACAAGAAAATTCTCATTTCTAAATTGTCTCATAGGAGCTATAATCGTTCAGTCATTCTCAATTAGTGTAATTTTATTAATAGCTGTAAAACATACACACTAAAGGAGGAAGTAGTATCATTGTTCTTGTAGGTATTACGGCTTCCTTAATATTTCTGCTATGAAGTAACAAATTCTAGCGATTACTTATGGAGTCATTTGCTTAATAGCCCGTCCCCATTATCCAATGGCGATAATATGCCAATGCACAATGATCTGATATTATCATAGCGTATTTTTACTTTCGAGCATTTCGAAAATAAACGAACAAAAGTGAACGCTTTCAATGTATTTTTAGTATTTAAATAACATATACTTCTTCACTCTTCTTAAACTCGGCTGTATATACGTACACTTAAATATTTTATTTGTTATTTAATATATTATTTCGTTATATACACTTCGAGATATGCAAAGTCGTTTTTTTTATATCAAAGTAGTTATATGATAAGTCAATAATTATGATAAGTCAATAATTCAAATTAAGTTTAAAAGTCTATTCGTTTTGGAGAAATTGTCCTTTTGACAGTTTGTATCTACATTTCGGCAAGCAAGTCAGCAACTACATTAAAAATTTACGATATTCCTTGTAAGAACTTATTTTGAATAATTTGTATAAAAACACTTTGCTTTAAACAAAACCAATTTTTTAAACCTATTTTAATAGTAGGCCACATTACCACTTCTGTTGGGTGATTGATTCTCTTCAATCAATTATAGTGCCGTCATATTTTACAAATAACGTTCTAAATAATAATTTTTCCATAACTTTGAGTCTAAAACCGATTGAACGACGCTTTGATGAATGTAATCGTTAAATTTCCAATTTAAGATGTTAATTATTAACAATGTTATGGTACAAAATGTAAACTGGGGACTATAATACTAGCTTCTCCTCTATTAAATAGTTTCATTATCTTTGCAAGGTTTCGTAAATGTAAGTTGTAAAATCGGACCAAACAAAATTAGAATGATGCCACTCAAAACTTGAAATTGATTCAATCGATATGTGACTGACGCGTCCGCAATACAAAAAATATATGGATTCAAGTTTAAATAACATTATAAATATTTCAGTCCTGGAACATTCCTTTCCTGCTCGAAGCGGCTTCGTGGCGTAAACAAATTTGCAACGTTTAAACGCCTCTCATCTCACAGTACAATACCAAATCCTTCGGTCAGATCTTTTTCCGCCGTGAAGCTGCGGAATAAACGCGTCGGTCCCGTCAGTAATATCGTCGCGACTGAGCCGACGGGTCAGCGCTGCGCATCGTTTCAAAGGGATCGCGATCGATCGCGATCGATAGATCGTTCCTCGGCGAGTCGATCGAGGCCGATTCGAGCACCGCCACGGTGGCGCCTCCTGCGGGTCGAGTGCCGGCACTAGGCCTCAGCGGGATCATGTGTTCACTCAGTATGTTGCGGTCTTTGCTTACGCGCGGTCGCTCGTACGAGAGTAGCGAGCGAGTGTAAGAACAGCGAACGACGTGAAGTACGCCGAGAGTACGCGAAGTACGCGAGGAAGGAAGCGACGACGACGGTTACGTCGGCCACCCGCCATCAACGTTTGCACTTTCGGGTTCGCGCGAGCTCTCTCTCCTCTCCTACCCCGCTTTGTGTTTCTCGCCGCGCCGAAACGCAGCAGCCGCTCGCGCCCAAGTGCCTCGCTATTTCGAAAGTCTCTCGCGCACTCGGAAAACGGGGGAGCAGTACGCAAATACACACGTACAATCGCACACAGTACCCCCCTCTCTTTTGCTCCCCCCGCGCGAATAGTGGTGCGTCTACGTCGCGCCAGTACGGGCGTCCTTCCGCGTTCCCCGCGCGCGCGCCCCTACGGATTAACGGCTTAGTGGAGTGATTTCGTTTACCTCGGATCGTTCCGCCGAAGGACCCGGCGCGGGCTCGTTTCTCGCGAACTGTGCGCGGCTTCGGTGGTGTGATCCCCCCGGCCCCACGGCGAGGGAAGTCGGTGCGGAGAGCCTGCTCGCCGGAGTTCCTCGACTTTCCGCCATCAGTCAACGAGAGAATCTCACGCGGGGATGTCGAGGTAGCCCCCCCATCCATCCGCAGGACTGGGATTACCATGCTGGACACGGCCACGAGTCGCAGGTAAGGGAACATGCGCCGGAGGATCCTTTGCTCGCGCGTCCCCTCCCCTCCCTCTTGTCGTCGCTGTTCGCGACTTATTCTCTTTCTTCCCCTCTCTCTTGCCATCCATCTCTATCTCCGTCTCGCACTCTGCTTCTTCGCTTCTCGTATCGCGTCGTTTCTCTCTCTCTCTCTCGGTAGGTCGCGTCGCTCGCACTAGCGCGGGCCGGCGCGCGAAGAACAAGCGCGATATACACACGAAAGAGCGTTCTCCGCACGCGGCCGATTGGACGAACGCCAGTCGGCCGAGGCGGAAATCCCTCCGAGAAATATTCCCGCGAGTGTCGGACAGATTTTCGAACGTCGGACGGACACTCGGAGCTCGTTCCGCTCGGCGCGAGGGAGCGCGAGGGATATTCGGCGGTACATCCGATAAGCGGCGACTGATCACGACGATCGCGTCCCGGCGGCAGGAGCGGTCTTTTTCCCACGAACGAAATACTCGCGCTCGATAGCGGTTTTTCGACCCGCTTCGTAGGCACGGACAGGCGATAAATAAACCGTTCCTACTTCACCATCGGACGAACGCAGCCGGCTCGTTATCTTATCGTGCAGAAGTCATTAAAGTCGTGACTTCAATTTTCCGTGGAGTTGAAACGGGAAAGAGAAATATCGAAGTCTTTCGGAGAAGTGTTCTTGCGCGGGCCAGTTTTCGTACTCACGCGCACGCGCGTTCAGACCGTTGGCGCCCGTGTCCGGAGAGTTGTTCTCTATCCGATGTTAAGCTCACATTCCATATTGTCGTCAACGGGCTGCAGCACACATGTACACACACACACATCCAGCGTTGGAAAAAAATATTAGCACACACTGACGTCTCGCGTTTATTCTGTATTCATCAGTTTTTTCGCAAAGATACGAAGATTGCGATAAATGCCGGGTCAAAGATCCGCAATATTTACATATGCATCGGCAATTTTTTTCTACGAGATTTTAGTGGTACCTTTCACGGGAGAAAAAAAAAGCGATCAATTTATGACTTGATTTTTTTTTATTCACATAAAATATAGTCAATATCCACGTGCTAAATGACTTAGTGCGGTAACTTTTTAGCACGCTGAATTTAATAGAAGATTGATATATTGAAAAATAACGCAAATATGATCAAAATTAAGAGAAATATTGTCAAAAATTAACGCGATATATAACACTTTAATATTATTTGGAAGCAATTGTAAATTAGCGGGTACGATGTGTTTTTTTTTTTTTTTACTATGTAAGAGGTATCTGGCTGCCTGCTTGCAAAAATTAGGTATCGGGAACGCGGTCGACGTTCTCGATCGAATGCTATCTCATTGCTCAATCGAGTTGCTGACTATTTTTACGATTAACGCGCGACCGATATTTTTCGAACGGATTGGCGCGAGCATTTCGGACGGGAATGGAATCACGTAATCATAACATGCAATGCGTGAGCCACCATGCTTCGCGGTACTTGGCACAAAATGACACCCGTCCCGCGTCGCCGCGCGAGGAACACGTTGCTTTCCTCGCGTTATTTCGAGGCGCAGCGTCGCCACAGTCTTTGTTGTTCGCCGCGACCGCGGGCGCTCGGTTCGCGGGAAATCGATTTTTCTTAGAACCTCGCACGTGGTTCGCACGGCGGCACATACGGTTACACAGCCGATCTCTCTGAGTCAGCCTCATTTCTTCGCGAGGGGAGAGACGGCGGAGAAACGCGACGGAACTTCATTAACATCCGGTACTTCTAATGTTGCATCGCGCGCGCGCGCGCGGGATTGTCACCGGCGAAACGACCGCGCATAAATTCCATCGTGTACCTCGATAAATTCCGTTGTGTGCTCGTGTGTGTACACGCGGACGCCGAAAAAGAGGAAAAAAAAGGGTCCAGCGAGCGGTGGTGCCGAGCGTCTCGTTCGAAAACAAACTCATTAATACGCGCCGCGCGATAAACCTCGCGTATTGTGCCCGGCCGTTATTTACACCCGACTGTGATTATGAACGCGCGTCTTGTTCGTCTCCCCCGTTTTCGCTCGTCGTCTTCGTCATTCACGTGGGATCACTAGGGACGACTTTATGCTTCGTTAGGACGGCGACTCGGGGCGAGGGGCCTGAGAAACACACACATACGATACGTCCCGTGTTAATGACTCAATTTTCGCCAAAATCCGCCAACAGCGGCACGCATTGTGAACGCTCCGACATTTCGTTCTCACGGATTAAGTCTGGAAATTCAAATTCCGCATTAGCACCCGCCGCGCAACAAAGAAATACACGAGAACCCTCGCATGCGACTGGCGGTCTATCCCGTGTGGTTCTAAGGGTATACCTGAAAACATAACGAGAATTACAAAAGTGAATTCTCGTTTGATTAGGTAACTTTTACCATGATGAAAATGCGGTATATCTCATGATGCAGTGGTTCGACGAGTAATCTCGTGTCGAATGTTATCGTGGGGACATCGTATTCTCACTTTGCGCGCGTATTTATTTATATGAGCTGAAAAATACGACAAATGTAGCGCTGCTATCTATGTAATGTCGCTTAAGTCACCTTTTGTCACTTTTTCTTAACAAGTTATTAGAAAATTCACTATCGCCCCCAAAATGGCTCGTTGTAATCACTTTTTTCCTAAATTATCATTAAATTTCTAAAATATAGGCTTCCTATATATGTTTTTGCTGCCGTCTCTCCTAAAAAAACTGCTCTAAACGCGTATTTTTATCGCTCAAATCCTCGGTCTTTTCTTATTATGAACTTTCAAACCGTATTATGAAAGGAATTTTCGCTATTAAGTTATTCAAAAATAAACCTGGGGAGGTAAGAATAAGTGTTACTTTTTTTTTTTGCTTAAATGACCTTAATTACTCCCAGAATTTGTCAAATAATATCACTTTTGGTTATTATTTCGATGTTCAAGAGGTTACATTTTCACCTGTTTCGCCAAGAAGCAGTCACTACTTCACTTTCTTTGTTCCGATAACGGAATGGCAGTGCTGAGCAGGTGAGAAAAGTCGACGAAAATACAAAATACACAATCGACCCTGTGTACCAGTGTATGTTCTCTACGGCTTGGACGGGACGAAAACTCCGGGAGAACAGCGGGAACACGCGGCGTCGAGGAAATCAATTTCGCGCTCGCGACGTGGATCAAAGGTTGTCACGATAAACGTTCTCCGCCAACCGCGCCGGTTAGACAATAGTTTTCTGTTGCATACTATTTCAGGATTGTTCGGCGGGAGGGGAAGGAGCGACGGCGAGGCGGGTGATCAGACCGCGCGTGTTTAACCAGCACCAGGTCGGTCTTAAAACGGTGGGGGCGATCGGCGATTTTCAACGCGATGAAACGTTTATCATTCGCACGCCTCACATTCGTGCCGAAACGTATACTTTCGGGAAAAATTATAATACTCTCCTATCACGGAAGCTAGACTTATAATTATTTTTTTAATTCAAAAATAATAATTTATCAATTAAGACAGAGATGGGGCGTTTTGAATTATTATTGCAGAGATAACAAGAATAGTAATTTTCGAAATTTAAAATCACAATGGGGAAATATTAAAATTCCAGCTGGGAAAGCAAGGGATTAAGATTGAAGGATATATATCTATATATTCGTGTGATAAAAGATACATAATGTTTATTGCAATATGCATATTGAAATAAACTTTTCACGATAGCGCAAACATATGTGGCTGGATGTTAATGTTACTTCAAATTAGAAAACTTAATCTAAACTAAAAACACATTTTGGAGTGATTTAGATAACAAAGAAAAATTCCGATTTATGTCTTCTTTATTTAGGAGCAAATATATTTTCACGTGATCAATAAAATACGAACGACAATAGTTCACTTATCGTTTTTCGGGAACGGTGCAACACGTCAGTTTAAATCATTATGCCGAGTGCAATTACAAATATATATATATAAACCAAAATACAAAGAACACATTCAAAGTTGAATATCATTTTCTCCTGTAATACTATGAAAATAAAAGCAAAAAGAAGGAAAGTGCACTCGATACCGACATATTCAGACTCTTAAATGTTATTTCTATAGCGAATTTAAATTAAACATTACAAAAAACTTTAAACTATAATTTTTTTCTATGTCGGGACTATATTGTGCGCTGTGGTGGCTTCGCCAGCAGAGCGGGCGAATATATAACGGCTGTATCAAATAGCGACAATAAAGACGCTCGTACTTCGCTAGATTCAGGAAGAGGCAGGCACGCGTCCGCCCGAACGACGAGCGTTTCGCAATTCCGCTTAACTGCCCGCGATAACGGCGTCCAAAAGTTTCCGTACGGCGCACGAAAACGCGTTATTTCCGGGTTCAGGAGCGTACGATCAATCGCAAAGAGATTGCAACTCTTTTCTCCGATGAATTTCGCAACATGTCTCGCGCATCCCTTGAGAAAATATCTCTTGAGAATCACTGAAAAAACAAATTCTTCTATTGGACATAGAATGCGTTTTGAAACTTTTTACGACGGGCACGTTAATGTCGACTAATTGGTGTCACGTTTCTCCGCGTGTTCGTCGTCTGTGCGCGCGCTACGTTCGGATCGTGATGCAAGAAACGTCCGCAATTTATGCCGAGGATTTATCACAAGTACTCTATCTGCGCGATATCGAACTACGCCCGCTGGTGCAGACAATGCGATCGGCCGTTGCCCGAGCTGAATCGAAAATGCACAGCCGGTCATCAATCTTTCCGAACGTGATGCATGACCGAGAAAAACGGGCTTTCTAATTAATCAATCAAGTTAAGTGATTCCCGTGGTTAACGGCCATAATTAGCCGCATGTGCGTGGCCCGAGCGCTGAAATTACCCGATTAACCTATGTTATTCCCATCGCGACCGGCGGATTACGGAATCCGCCGCGCTCATTCACCGTCGATGCTTGTCTGCGCAAATTAAATTCTACGATTACGCTTCTCGCGGTTAACACAAATTGCGAACCGTGATATAATGATAAATCGCACGTGCCTCGCGTGCTATCGCGAACGTAATCTTGCCTAACGGTGGTTCTCGATATCTATTAATAGTTATTAATTAGAAAAGCAAGACAAGTCGGCGGGATGTCTTAGAAAACTGAAGGAAAATGGAAATGATATTATATTGAAAAATGAATTCGGTTTCGATTTACTGGGCAATGGACAACAAAACGCGTCTTGATCGAAGAAAACTTTACCCTTATTTTTTTTTTTTTTTTAATGTCAAATTCTGCACAAGATCGCGCGATTCAAATGCGTGCTGACAAATTTGACGAGCCGTTCAGTTTTCCATTGACTATGAGTACAGACTTGCGCAATACATGCACTAATAAGTAACATCAGCATACAAAAATAACAAAGCGACACAAGGTTATCGAAAAATATGTCGGTAATATTTAGCAGTAATTACAATTATTAAGATAATGTGGGAACATCCGCATTTTGACCCGTTCAATTGTCTTCTCGCCTCAACCGGTAGATGTGAAATTACACATATGTTATAAAATAACTGAATTGAATTAACACAAGACTGACATACTATTCTATACTATTCTAACATATTACGTGTAATTTATTTACCTCTTTTAGTACCGTACTACAAATATAAGTTACCTGACACATGTCATCAAACAACTCATAAAATTACATCAGATTTATCAGTTTTCGTAAACTTGCTCGAACTCACACGTGTGTAGCCCCTGCTATTGTTCGTCACGGACAAGTACGTTGACTCACCTCTCTCTCTCTCTCTCTCATACATGCAAGTCCAAATCGATAGTTGCATACTTACTTCCATAAAGCATTTTCTCGTCTTATCCCGCGACTTTGTCTTGTCGTTTCTCAAATTCTCCTATGCCTCCTCTATTGAAGTTGACAATCTTTCAGTACAAATAACAACGCAACAATAGTGTTCGAATTATCAGTTGAAGGATTTCTCATCAAGTTCTTGAGAACGTGATTGATGATGGCATGTCATCGTCGAGTTCGAATCGGTGTCGAATATCCGGCGCGAATAATACTACTCGCGGACTCTCAATTTGTGAGCGTCGTGCGTTATCAGAGCGATATCAGAGCGAATGCGCTTTTGGGATTCGCGCTCGCACGGAAATTCGGATCGGCGAGTCGCGTGGGTCGCCGAAGGTACGGGATTCTCGCAGAGGTGTTTTTTCGATTATGCATGCGCACGCGTCGGAATGCTTGGACCGCGCGCCGAGAGAGAGAGAGAGAGAGACGCGGGCGCCGGCTTTGAAAACGAAATTTATTCTCCGAACGTAGCGCGCGTATGCGGAATGAAGAAATATTTCTCCGTTCGCGCGTTTGCGCGCGACGAAGCACGTTAAAGTGTATCAGAAGCAGCAGCGAAAGCGACGCTGCGCCACCGAGAGGAGGGAAAAAGGAATGCCGGTAAAAACGATATTTCGTCAAAATCGAAAGATATCGCGTGTGCGTTTTGCGCGATTATGCAAGACTCCGCCGTTGTCATCGTCGTCGTTTAATATTCGCGCATTCGTTCGCGCTCGACATTTCCGCGATATCACGACCTCGCGCATACACTTCGTATACGCGGTGCTACGTGGCGCGCGTGCCAAAACAACGCTTTTCTAAGGTGGGGTCTCTGCGCATTTGCATCTCTCGCTGCTTTTCCGACGTGCGCGCTACGCTGGACGAACGCTTGCCTCCACGTGTCCCTCACGCGATCTACGAAAATGCGAGGTCGCGCTGGGAAGTCGGAATACGTAATAACGAAATGTGGTCCTCTTTATCTCTGATTTCGACGAACGTACAACTTGTACCGTTCGAACAATAAGTATCACCGCTTCTACGTTCGAGATGGCCTTCGATTTACTTCTGATTCAAGCCGATCGATATTCCTCCCTTTTCTTCTTCCCTTTTCCTGTGACTTTGGAAAGCGACGTGGAGAGAGAAAGAAACGCGAACGTTGCATCTTGCCCGATGATCTCGTAGTGGCTCAAAGTGACCGCCGCTAGGTTGTATCCCGTAAGGGCGGTTAAGTAATGACTGACGAGTTAATACGTCACATAAGCAAGCATTAAGTAACGAGTGCCACTCACACGTGCTTGACGACGATGCACTTACCGTACGGCGCGTGATTACGAATACGGTTGTCTCGGCTGATCATGATGTTCCTTTCATTCAGACCACGATTAAAGAGCTACTGATGTGTTTAACTCTCTTTCTCGCTCTCTTTCTCTGTGGCAAGACCAACCGATATATATAGCGCACCTCCGTGTTTTCTGCCAAGAATGCACAACGTATACCCACGTTCGATATTATTACCGGAGTTGCCGCAGACTTGGAAAAAAGTCGTGGGAATTTAAGGCAGAAAAACCTAGAGAAATCAGGGAAAGATATAAAAGAGTTTTCCGGAGTTTTTAAACTTTGTTCACGACACTTTAAATACTTTTATTCCGAGAAGAGTAACTCTTATCATTTTTTTAAATATTATACCTGACGTTTATAGTCAAATGCGTTCATAAAACTCGCGTACTTTACAAATAATTTCTTACGTGTTCGGGTCGCGGTACATAGAAAAACTTAAGCAGTAGGACATAAGCAGTAAGAAGAGTGACCAATCGTTGATTATTCGACAACGATGAGGAGAACAATCGAATGTGATTGATCAATTTTATTCGGCGTTTTCATTCAATCGTCCTGTTCCGTCATAACTGCATTCTTCTTTTCAATATTTATTAATTTTTTGCTGGCCTGAATATTATTACAAACTTGGTGACACACCCGCGACTTTTCCAGTCTGTCTTCCAACTTCTTACGCAATATTCAGCGTGTTTGAATTCGGTATAAATTCCTGATACTTACTGACTTAGATAATTAACAGTTTAGATAATTGATTGTAATAAATATCCTCCTTATTGCGGGCGAGAAAATATTCTTGATTCTATTTTTGTCGAATTACGTGATAGCGTCGATAGTACGGTGGTAGAATTTGAAGCGTTGAATCTCGATGACGTGGAGAGATGCGAAGTGATGCGTGCGTGTGAATAAAACAGCGTAAGTTTTACGACGTTTTTCGCGCCTTTCCGTACACGGTGCACGCCTGAGAACGTCGAATCCAACACATATCCCGTGGCAATAAATATTCTCTTCCTTGATTTACGTTATAATTACATAATTGCGCGCTGCCTCATCCAGCCATGAGATTGATGAAATACGAGAGAATATAAAACGCCGTGAGGTACGTTTTTTTTCTTTTTTTTCTAACGACTGCCTTTTCCATCATAGGCGCGCGTTTTCACCGGTCGTTTACGACCGCCGTAATCGACACGTTGCATGTGACACATCGGCCACGAGGCGTTTACACTTCGGCAGATTCGAAAGGCATTTTCGTGCGCGACTTTTACACGCATCTCGTTGGCGCTCAAACCGGGATTCCGCCGCTGACATTTCTCCGGGTGTCGCGCGAAAAGGAAAAAAACCCTGAACGGGATCGTGACTAATCCGGATCGTTCGGCAAGTTGTCGTCCCGATCGTGTCGCGCGTTTCGTTCTCTTCGCGACAATCCATTTGAAGCGCGCACGGGCGTCGAGCGGATGCTCCGTTTCTTTGTTCGAACAAAAAGGGACGGCCTTGAGTGGCGATCGACAAGAAAACGGGCAGAAATAAAGCGCACGAAGACGGAAGAGAGAGGCGCGACCCGGGCGGTCTGAAGCCGTGCGATTAAAAACACACGCGGTTTTCGTAGAGAGTAAAGAGCCGAATGGAATCCGTTCTTCCTCAAGTTGGAGCACCAAAAAAAAAAAATTCGTCTTCGGGCTTTTATTCGACGTCGCTCGCGGCGCGCGGCTCACCGACGGAAGCGAAAGAGAACCGAGGGAGGATCGCCGGCGATCGCCTTGCTAGCCTGGAAATCCAGTTATTCCATCCGGCAGCGGCAGCAGGGACCTCGAGACAATGCGCAGAGAGCGACCCGTGCAATGCCGCCTCGGGAGAGCTGGTTGGGTGAGCGCGACGAAAATAACTCCGGCAGGAGAATATTACGGCACTTTGCAATGAGAGGAGAGACCGATGGGAAGAAGGAGCGAGAGGAGAAGGGGCCTCCGCGAGTAGAAGGGAACGCGCGCGAAGAGACTCTCGCGATGGAACGGCAAAGATCTCCCGCGCGCTCGCTAGTCCGCTCGCGTGTGTATGCGCGCGTGTGCGTGGGAAACGCAATTATTACATTTATTTTTATTTTTTTCTCTATCACCATCTATTTATATTACTTATTGTTACTTATTTATTAATTATTATTATATACACGTGACAAGAATATTTTTTACGTGAAGAAATGAAACCGTATTTTAGTTGACGGTAAGAAAAAAAAAAGAGAGGGGAGAAAAATTCATTGCGAGTCTCCGGGATGCGCGAGCGCACTTGTGTAATTTTCGTGAACCCATTACCGTTAACGTTATCATTAACGTTACGTAGAGAAACGGGGAGAGAAAATGGATACGGAGGTACCTTGGTAATTTAAGAACAGAGGGGAAAGGAGAAAAAGAGAGACGTAAGAGGAAGAAAAAGATAATCGTATGTAACGACTGACTATATGGCGAAGTACTCTCGACGAGCGATCGCGGCGGCGGTCGTCTTCTTTCGGTCCGTGATGCGATTCGCCGGTCGGCCAATGACTGGGCTCTCCTCCGCTCTCTGGCGAGATGCGGTGTGCGTGCACCGGGGCCGGCCTCTCTTCTCCGCGCGGTGCGTTCTCGCGCGACACGCACGTACAGTGCGCTTCATTGACGGCCGCGGAGAACTGGTCCACCGTTCGTTCGGCATGAGACTCCGTTAGAACCAGTTTTCCGCGGTGGACGAGACTCGGAGGCCCGCGCGCGAACCGCTCGGGGGCATCGTCGCGAATTTTTATCGTCAGGAAGCGTCGCGACGGGGATGAAACGTTTACAAGACTCTCCTTCGATCGATCGATCTATTCATCCATCCATCGGCGGATGTATTTGGATGTACGGAAAATAAGAGCCCTATCTCCGCGTTCTCGCCATGTTATCAAAATTCATGCGTGAGGTCAATTAATCTTTGCAAGGTAAAATAAGGGTTAGGGGTAGTATTAATCGACACGTTCGAAACTTCGGATATAATTTCTAACCCTAGTAAGAGTCATTCATGGTCCCCGCAAGAGTCGTTCATTCATTATATTTTATTATAGTAGAAAAAAAAAAATATATATATATATCGTTCCATATGATTTTCGTGCCCTTTTCTTGTTTTAATGAAACAGGATACATGTTCATATATTTGGGTCACTCATGATCCCCCACCTTCCGGTTCACATCCTGCTGCTCCACCCTTCCTTGCGAAGGTTAAAATAGTGCTTGCGAGTATATCATGAAACATCGCAGATTTCAGAAGTCGATAGGGAGCCGAAAACAGGCAAGACGTAGAATCCTGAGGTCGGTCCAAAATCCGTAACGTTAGAAGAGGCCTTAGAGGTCGGTCGAAAATATGCCCATGTCGAGATGCAAATGAGCCGCACAATCCCGACGGCATCTGGCTCTCATTTGCACGTTGTACTTTGCGCCTCGATCCCTAGGGTTCCTCGCGTCACACACACATACACACACCGGCCGGAGAATTGAACGACTGAAAATATTGAGATTTCACTCACTGGCGATTTTTATTCATACCCCCCTCTCCTTCTCTCTCTCTCTCTCTCTCTCTCTCTCTCTCTCGCGAATGGAGGTCGGATCTCGTAAAAGTTTATACACGATCGAAGATATATATATACGAGGAGATCGCGCCGTTCGATAAGGTGTCGCGGGATATCGGGAAATCGGAAGAGAAAGCGCTGGAAAGGAATGTCCTTTAGCATTCCGCGCAATAGAATCTCAGATTCGCGCCGCGCGGAGATTTGAATTCGCGATAGCAGCGCATGGTAAGCAATCTCTGACCAACTTTCGAGGGTCCGTGTGTAATGCAAAAACGCGCTTTTTCCTCTACTGACCGCGTAGCCGTCGATCGAGTTAGCCACGGATATCCGCGGGGAGGAGAGGTGAGGACGAGAAGGTCAAAAATACATTTTTGTCAGGGTGGTTGGTTTTTTCCCAATCGAGCGCTCTTTTCAGAACCACAGATCTCGATATCGCAACCGACATCTAGCGGCTCCGGCAATTCCGCATTGCAATCGTGCGTCCGTACGCGCGCGCACACTAGAGAGAGAAAGAGAGAGAGAGAGAGAGAGAGAGAGAGAGCATCTCGACGTGGACACTCGCGCACACTGGACTGCCTTTCACGCACGAGTTGATTCGCACTACCACGGCGAAGAGCCGCCGCTGCCAGCGTGTCTGCCAGTGCAACGAGCGGAATCTGAGCACTTACGAAATCGGCCGAACGACTCCAACAACTCCGGCGGCCGGCATCGCTAGACGACGTAAGCGTGCTTAACTCGCGCGTACGCTGACGCGCCCGCTCGCTCGCGCGCGCCACGAGGCCAGTCCCATAAAAAGCGTAAACGTCGATTACGCAATGACGTAATATAATAATGGATATTGTCCCTGATGATAGAGATTCCGACGGATATAGAGTTTCTTATTACTTCAGCGAGACGGCCGGGTATACACAATTGACGTTCGCGGGGATTGCCGTAGCAATGCGCGAGCGAGCGAGAGAGAGAGAGAGAGGGAGAGAGAGCGACGACTACGCGGTGCGTGTCGTTCCTTCGTGTGGCGTCTTTTCGAGTCATCACGTGTCGACGCCGTCGCGTTGCGACGACAAGGGAATAATGCGCCAACGCTCTTATTCTTGATGCATGAGGCGTTCGGTCGTTCTCAGAGGTGTGAGCTGTGATCTATATTCGGTCGCTGGAAGCAGCTCGATTTCGCTGAAGTATCCGCGGTTACGTCTAATACAAAGGTGGATGTGCGCACTGAGCGAACTAGCAACGAACGAACGGCGAATATGTAATATGAACTGGAAAATACATCAGTATTACCATCCAATCACTTAAGTCTTAAGCTTTTGTCACCGTATCTTGACGAGTCGTTAAAAAATTCACTATCGTCCGAAATNTTTTTTTTTTTTTTTTTTTTTTCTAAGCCGTTAAATTCGTGAAATATAAGCGTTCCGTGTATATTTTTGCCGTCTCGTCTGCTTTTGGCGCTCGCGCTCACTGGTTGCCGATTTGTTGTTTCAACGCCCGTACTTGTATCATTCATGCCTTTGATCTTTTCTTGTTATAAACTTTCAAACCGTACTATGAAAAGAACTCGTTATATTATGTTATCCGACTTTCAAACTGTACTATGAAAAGAACTCGTTATGTTAAGTCATCCAAAGATAAACTTGGGAAGGTAAGAATAAATGTTACCTTTCTGCTTAAATGGCCTTACTCTCGGAATTTGACAAAAATGTCAATTTTGGCCACTATTTTAATGTCCGAGATTTCACCCTTTCTTCCGAGAAGCAGTCATTTCACATTTTCCAAATTGCAACAACGAAAATTCATATTCGCTGTTCGTTCCGCGTTTGTTCACTCAGTGTATACCTAGCTTAATAACACGATAGATAAAGGACATTTCAGGAAAAGTCGCGGACTCGTAATCGGATAATCATTTAATTATTCTGTCTTAGCTGTTAGTAGAATCTTTATGTTGTGAAGATTCTTATAATTTATATTAACTTTACAATCGCACGGATGACAGGTGTCATCCGTGCACACCAAAACGCATTTTCGGAAAAATACCAACAAGCATCCATCTTGTGCCTACGTGTATTTGTCAGTTAGAGATTTCTCTCATCCGTTTTAAATAAGATTTTTATAATTGTTATTTCCGTGTAAATAAATATTATCACCTTCTAAAACGATTTTTTGCTGGAAATGTCAATTTAAAATGGAGGACACCTGTCATCCACGCGAACACTCGTGTTGCATTTAGGTAGACAACCACTGCAGAGTTAGATTCTTTGATTTATTTCTACAATTGTTTCCGTTTAAATGAAAATCTGACAATGTTTGGATTCGTTGAGATATTGCCACATCACGCGCGTTGAATGAAACTTATTTCCATCGGAAGCGAAGCCTGATGTAATCAGTGCGTTTTTTTTACATCCACGTGGATAGTTGATTCTCGTCTATTTGTTCTCATGCAAAAAATAAGCGTTAAAAATATACGGATATTTTATCATTTATAATTACGTTTCCGGGTAACGTTTACTCCCACTGATGTCAGCGCGCACACGCGCATACTGCAAGTAGGACTTCGCGCTTTAACGTTACGTCATTACACTGCTATAAAATGTATAATAGATAATTGTACAATATTTGGAGCAGGGACACGTCTTATTCATCGCGCTCGCGATAAAACGAGATCTTGCGAGGATGGTCTACTTTGTAGATGAAATGTTCGCACAATTCTGTCGCAAAGTCAAGTGGTAATAAGTTTCGAGCGCAAGAACCTTCGATAGTTATGCACGTTCAGTCGCTTGCGATTATGGGTACGCATTCGTGCGTTAATTATACACCAGCTACCGATGAAAAACCGAATGAAATGAAACTTCTGACAAACAGCGACATTGATAAGCGCAGAATGAACGCTCGATACGTCGAGTCTCCGGGCTGCTTGCGTACGTACGATGCTGTGCGAGCGCGCTTTATGAATATATCCGCGGCTGGATCCGCGTACAAGTTCGCCAGGCCGCGCAAAATGTAAAGAATCGTCCACCACCCGATCCGCAGGAGAGAATTACGTTGCATCTGGATTGTACAAAGATATACTTACTCAGCTTAATGGTAGCCTGTCGACATAGACACGCCTCCGTCAAAGTTGCGTCGGTACCCACAAAGAAACTCTTTCAAGATAACCCGCGCGCCCGTCGTTCCCACCGTTCGTCGAACGATGTAACGAGCCGGCCGTACGGGAAAGCGGCGATAAATACGGAAAGCTACATCGACGCGTTATCGTCCGAGCGGATAAGAAGAACGAGGAAAAGCAAGAGAAAAACACATCCCACGTTTCGGGGCGAACACACTCGCAAACGCGCCGACGCGCCTCTCCACCTTTCGTGAATGCACTTTGTTGCATCTCCCCCTCGGCGTTAAAATAAGCAGCGGTGTAAGAAGCACCGCGCAAAAAAGGGGGGGGGGGAGATAGATAGAGAGAGAGAGAGAGAGCGACTACGGTGGCGGCGGAGGAAAAAAGGACGAGGAGGAAGAAGAAGAAGAAGACGGAGAAGAAGAGTGGCTAACCGGCTGGCCGCAACAAACCCGAAGTAAACCAAACCTACCGGTCCTACCGCTCGCTACCACTACCACCTACCGAACTATTACCTGTAACCAGTCTATATCTGGACTCCGCTCGGTGTCTCTCTCTCTCTCTCTCTCTCTCTTTTTCTCTCTCTTCTCGTTCTTTCTCTCCCGCTGCCGTCCGATGCACCGTGTGTGCCAGAATGGTGGAATCCCCCGCGTTCTCTGCACCTTCGACTGACGTGGCGTCTCCCACGCGACGCAAGAAGCTATTCTCCCCGAGCGAATGCCGCGTCGATCCTCAGATCGTCGACGGGAGCGCGAAACACGCTCGCCTCGTTAGCATTAGTATTCGAAAAATCCTCATCTTCCAATCGGGAACGGTTTTTACTCTGACACGTGTCGAACTATCGCTACCTTGTCAATACGGGCGCTCTTTTTCTCGAAGCAACAGCATAATTATAGCACATAATCATGCGCAATAATTGTAGCGGCGACCGTTGTATTCTCGCGCGATTATGCAAAATAATTCGCGGATATGCCAGCGCTTGGAGGGGCAAATATGCGCTTTCTGATCTGCATCGTGGATTTTTTTTTCTTTTTGTATATATTCCTCGTATGTAAAATGTGCGCGATGGATGTGTTGATGGATGACCGAGCATCGTCCTCGTCGATAATCGCGGCTGTGCGCGTATTTCGTGCGTGCGCTTATATGCTCATGTTCTCTCGATAAGATATTCATTTTTTAACGTCTCTCTTTCGCGTTCTTGTCTCCCGCCTTTTTGCCGTTTCTCTGCCCCGCTGAAGACCGGTTGCACCAATATTGCTCGGAGTTCGCTTTAATTAAGTGAATTTTCCTTCTCCGTCTGTATTGTGGATACAACTATAACGAATCGAGCAGAGAGTAGGAATCGGCGAAGCCGGCTCGCCTCGTTCAAACAGGTGGCGCAACCGAGTCCAGGCCGAGCTGAACTGAAGTGAATTGAACGTGGCGCGTTACGCGTTGTCGTCATAGATTTAACTGTTGCTCGAAATTCTTACGTCCATGGTCATACAAAGTTGTGAGTTATGTTACCGTATATAATTCGAATCGTCTATATATCATTTATGTGTCCCGGGTTTAAATCTAAGTCATAAACCAAGCTGTGAACAGGTACTGTCACGTTAAATCTCTTTTCACTTTTTTATTTCGAGAATGAATACCATGGCTGCAACAGCCCGTGACGTTATTCGCTGCCGCGAATGTGACATTTAAATAATATCACACACAGTGTGCGCTAATGGGGCGCGTTTGGCGAACGAGATTACGTTTCTTTATTTCCCGCTCTCTCGCTCAGTATTAAAACAAGTCTTTCAGAATTTGATTAGACGCACTTCTTCGCGAATTCGGAAGTTTCGTGAAATATTTTATTATCCCGTGAGGAGTTTCCGTTCGAGTAAGATCTGTCGAAAAGTTTTGCAAATCGAGAAGTGAGAGATTTCTCACCGATCCGTTCGCGTTCTGAGGCGCGATGTGTCCAGGATATTTTTTCAATGACACGCTTTAGAAACGCTATTCGTGTCTCAGCGTTTTCGCAGAAAAAAAATTGTTTGTCGGTTTAACGATAAAGGCTTATCGCGCCATCGCGCGTGCCTGCTAAACGCGGTCGTTACCGCGGCTACTCTGTCCGAACATGTTGACATTCAAGCTATATGTAACACGAATCGACCTTAAAAGCGTCGTCGTGTACATGATCCCCGCACGTGCGATTAGGAATCGGCGAGTGTCGCCTCAATTACACGCGCGTTTACGTTTACGGCGGCGGCGGGCGGCGTTGACAGACGTGACACGTGCCAGCAGGTGCCCGTTTAATACGGGTCGTTTAAATCGAGCAGCTACGATTACGCATCCGTTATTTCCGCGACGTCGTCGCGGGTGACCGCAAAATCCTTTGGTATCGCCGATTATCGGTCGTAACGGATCGCGCCGCACGTAACGCGCAGACGTAACACACCGGCGGTGCGCGACGCATAGTGAACCGGACGAGTATTATTGGTGGAATGAAATAATAGATCGTTTTATTCGGTTTATATCGTACTTAAGTAAAATATTTTGATGAAAGAGACACATGCACTTCCAGAAAGACAAGCCGTTAAAATATGCACGGCCGGTATTCATAGTCATATCTTGTTTTTAAGTTCGTTTTTAAATTCATCTTTAGATACTGTACACGGGGAAAGTATTCTAGTAAAGATTACCACGCAAATTTTGTAATGTTTGACCATACCGAAATTATGACTGAAATTATGGTGCGTGTTGTAATCCTTAATGAATGTGTACAATAAAGCGCACCACCAAAGGTTACAACGGGTATCATAATTTCAGTTAAAATTGCGATATGGTCCAGCGTGAAAAAATTTGTGTGGGAATTTTCACTAAAATATTTTCTCCGTATACAAAGTATACTTCAAAAATCTTACTTGTCACAATATTCTCCATCATAATGAAATTAATGAAAAGTAACCTTTACGCTTAAAATAAGAGCCATTATTTATGGTAGATGCAAATGATACTGGCTGTTAATACTGGTTTATATTAATTTACATTGTTGCATTTGTTTTTATTCTTGTATTAATAATAATAATTAGTTTAATTATTTATTTAATTGGTTTCACGGCTTTTCGTTCGGCATCGGTCTAGATTCTACCGAGGAACCGCGTTACGAGATTGATCCGGTGTTTCCCCAGTGACGTCGGGTCCACGCGAACAGATGGGTTTCCCAAGATGAAATTAGAACGGCCAACGTCATCGCGCGGTTTACAATCATAAGGAAAAGGGATGTCGCGCGCGTGTACATGCGGATGCGTGGTACACGCCGTTCTGTCCACGCAGATCATTACGTTCGATGATTTGCTAGAAACCCTGCTTTGTTATCATTTATTATTGATAGCGCGATTGAGTTCGGAATTGCGAGCAAACCGATATTATCCGCTCACGTTAAAATAATCGCGCAAACGTATTCTGGTGAAATAGCGTATCGTCATTCCAATAATACGTTTCTGTCTCTCCCCCTCGCGTGTATTTTTCCTGATAAGAGGAACATATAATTATTCTGTGATGTTTCTCGATCATTCATAAGTACTCCGGAAAATAAAGAGTATCACGATCGGAGGTTTACTTTCTTGTTAACATATTTCGCGCCCGATAACGTGGCCCGGAGACGTAAATACCTATGGTATTAGCATTTTTCATCGATTTTCCGATCGCCGTTAATTAGTTTCGGCTTCGTGTACAGCCGTAATCGCGCAGTGGCGCTTCCACGATTATTATCCAAATGGGCTGATACAATATCGTTTATCTTTCAGGTGGCTGTCAGACGTCCAGGCTGAAAGCGCGAAGGGTATAGATCGGCAGCGGTATGTTCGCAAAATGGCATTAAAGCTTCGACTATCTTCCTCCTGAGTCGCTCTGCGATGTTGTTTAGGTGAGTTTTGATCGCGATCTCACGTTGCGATTCGCGTGGCAATCGCCGCGCATTTTCCCTCACTTCTCTGGAATTTTGTGTTAAAAATCGAAGTTAAAAATAGGATTGATTAATATTGAGACCTGGAATTTCCATTTAAGAAAATAAGACATTGATCTCAACACTTATAAAAAGTGTCATCTTCAATTGCGAATATCTCAGTTTCCGAATGGTCAATCGCTTTCTAACTTTATAAACGTGTGTAGATAGTACTTCCACCAGCATGCATCTAGGATTGAAAAGCTTCTTAAAGAAAATGGTTTGACGGACCGATTTATTTTAATCCGGCGACAACGACGAATTCGATGATCGCGATCTCCCATGAGCGCAACTTCACGATCGATCTGTGTGTGTGTGTGTGTGTTCGTGGTTTCGAATTATTCTATTGATGTCAACGCGCCATTCGTCGCGATTAAGAGCGCAACGAAGTGCGACAGAGTGGTAGAAGTGCGAACGCCGCGCGAGGAGCATTTTCGAAAGGCGCGAAACTATTTTTCGCAACGTCCCCGATCCTCCCGGTGATAAAAACCTGGCGCTCGTGCGGAGTAGAAACGCGCGCGCCACATCGACATTTATGCGCGACGTACGTGCGTACAACTTTGACGCGAGGTTTGTGCAAATCATGCCTATTAACAACCGCTGAAACAAAGCTGCGACAATTATGCGCGCAGCTGCAATGGCGTTTAGACGGCGGCTCGAGCCGAGGCCTCGTCGATATGTCCTTTGTAGTCGTCGGTACCAAGTCATTTTCAGCCGAATAAAATTAATATAAGAAGCGGGGCCCCTTTATGAATCGCGAAAGGCTCGACAGCGTTCGAGTGACTCGCACCTCTGACTACACGCTTCAACGCCGAATGCGGCCGTGCTCGACTCCGTGGCGCGATCATATGTACGAGAATAATTCTACGTTGATTAGATTTTATCAGCGGGAGGGGAGAATCGCGCGTTACGTCTCATCGTTAATTTGCTCAACGCGACGGGGTTAATTTCGCGCCGCACTTATCGTCGACGACGAGACGAATTTCAAAATCGCAACGAGAGGCTTGTCCTCTTTAGCTGAATTAGTGCTGCACTGGAACTCCGTTTCTTCTCGTTTTAATACTGCACAGTAAAATATTTTGTGTTAATCTAACACAAGGTTAAATATATAAGACAATTAATTAATTAATTAATTTAACACAAGGTTAATATGTTGAAAAGTAACACAAATATTATGTAGAAAATTAACACAAAATTAACATTTATGATGTGTTAATCGACATTAAATTATAAAATGTGTCATTTTAACATATGAATATAGAATTAACTCAACACAAAATACTGAGATGTCATAAACACAATATGTTAAATGAATACACGGATATATGTTGGAAATTTAACATACAAATTTTAACAAGGACCGATTTTAACTCAAGTACAAAATGTTTTTTACTGTATAAGTTATACATGATGAGGTAATAGCCATTATCACGTTGAATATCTTCGAGAGATAAAAATATTTTATTAACGACTAAATGAAGATGAAAAAAGTTTACACACACAGAAGGTATTCGAAATTAAGATCATTTGTATTAACGTGCAGTTTCTCTTAGACAAATTGTTCTCCTGTTTCCGAAGATATATTCAAGGTAGTAATAGTTATTGCCTTACCTTATGTCTCTCTCTGAAGGCGAAAAGTGCAATCTAATTCAGCTAAAAGGAAAAGACCTGAAGATCCCGGCGGCCCTCTCGGGTGTCTCTCGACGAGAGGAGGCGTCGACGAAAGGCGCCACCGCTTTCGACGTCGCTGCAGTTGGCGCTCGGGCACGATTCAATATCGCCACGCGCTCGCGCGAGCGAGCGCGAGGAACGACACTCCGCAGTAGATATTATAAATACGTGTTATCGTGTGTCGGCGTACTATTTTAATGCATTATCTCCGTCCACGTCCGCCACGGAACAGCAAACACCGCCCGCTCGCTCGGCTCCCGCGCTCAGATTCTGCGCGTCTGTTCGGCGGACTGTGGACGCCCCGGAATGTATCTTCGCTTCGCGCGCTCGCGATGCAATAAACCGCGTGCTGCATTTTCCTTCACCGAAAGAGCATCGTACACGTTCAGCGTTTGACATTAACGTATATTGCATCCCCCCTCCCGCGGCGTTACGAACTGCTATACGCTTCGAGTTACGTAAAAAAAAATCGCACGTACTGTTTTGTAAATAATTTTTTTCGAGTCGAAGGAGAGATACGAGCGGCCCGATAAACCGGGGGGCGTCGATATTCTCGCGTGTGTTCGCGAGGAATATTTCCAAATCGCGAGGCTAATTTAGATACGATACGTTGTGAGCTATTGACGAGAAGGCAAATGCATAAATTTAATTTTAACTTGTTCAATCTCCTTCTCTCACCGAAAAAAATAACTCGCTCTCAGTGTCTGAGAGTAAGTTTTTCTTCGCTTCCGTCAATATTTTCCCACCGGAACTAATATTGTTATTATAGGTGTACATATATATGAGGCGGATGTACCCTTTCATCTCTCTCTCTCTCTCTCTCTCTCTTCCCCGAGTGGGAAAGAGGTTCTAGTTTTCTAAACTTAGTCCTAGGTCTCGCGACGTTTGTACCGTAGTCTCAAATATTGACCGAATAAATATTTTCTCACGTTCGGCGATAATACGGTTTCTCGTGCCGCCACGGAATGGACTCTCCGTGGCGCAATAAACCGAAACATCGTGCGCAACGAAAGTATATCGCTATTTTTGCGCGTATAAAAGACGCGCTTGTTGACGAACCACACAGAGCGAGGCGCGTGTGTAGGTGCTCGAGATATGCGCACTTCGGTGAAGCCGCGCTCACGCATCATTCTCTTGTTTTCACGTGATAATTGTGACTCGGCATATAGTTGCATCGCGCCGACTGTATCGAAGGGCCCGATACGAGGGCGATAAGACGAATTACGGAGATTGCACGTAACAAAAACACACGATATCCGAGTGTTTCCCACTTTACGTGTCGCATATACGTAAATATAAAAGCTCGAACCTGCCGAGCAGGCTAGAAAAATCATCGAATTTTCGAGTTAAAGTTTTCATTTCCTGGACATTCCGTCCAGCTCGAAAGGTCAATGGACGATCTCGAAGCACTCCGCGAGTTGTTCATTAATACTAAAAATAGACATTTACCGACATCGTTTTGTTCAAGTTTAGAAAAAACGCTTATTTAATAATTACTTAAGTTTTGGTTATCTCAATAACTTGTCTCAATAATTTTTATTCTAAATATTAATTATGTAACTTATTTAACTGCAGATAGAATACGTGATGAGCGAACATTAAATAATCTGATATATTAATTTTCTTATTATTTCCTCTTTATTATTATTTTTTTTTAATTATTTACTGTTTCTTTTTTTTAGTGCTGTAGAAATTTTGATAAGTTTTAAAGATTTAAATTAAATGAAAAAAAGGAATTTTAACTCTCATCGCTGACTGCCGCTCTTGCATCCTGCTTTTCGTTCTGGAGTCAGTTCGTGGCCAAGTACTCAATATATTCAATGGTCTCACGAGAAAAGATACGCATCAATTGGAAACGTAGCGTTAACTAATGATCGCTCGTTAATTGACGACAATCGGCAAATGCTACAAGTGACAGTTTCAACACATAGCGCGCGTGCAATCGTCCGAATAATTTTACAATTTGCTAAAATTACCACTTCGACGACTCGGAATATTTTGAGAGCGTCGATTGTCATGATTTCTCGGCCACCGAATATGCTTGTCACTGATTGACCGACAACGACGATTCGTAATTGACGGAAGGTGACCGTGTCCCTTCCCAAGGTGCCAATTGTTTTGACACTCTCGCGCGTCACGTACTTTTCCGTAACCGAGTCATTATATCTTGAGTTGACGAGAGAAGCATATACCGTGTATCGATGCGTTGTTTACAATTCCCGTTGGCTGATTAAAATATTTTGTCGGTTACTGAAACGCTCAATCGGAGTCAACCCTCGCGTCGGCATCGCGTTAATTAAAACTAGTTTCTCCGGTCGAACCGTATTTACGCGAGTGTCAGTGAGTGTCGATTGATTGTTCATTGAGTGTGCTACGAAACAGGCTGGAGCGGGATGCTACATTGGAGAGCCAAAATGAAAGACGCAGGACGCGAGCAGCAATGTATTAATATATATTACCAGGTGCGTTAAATTATTTACACAGGATGTTTCTGATTTTAACGAACGAAATCCGAGTCCGACGAAATCACCGAGTGTAAGGAAATACCCGTGTTGTTATACAGAATCTAATCTCAAAGACCGGAATTTGTGGTCTGTTATTGCTTTGATAGGTACTCACGAGTTTATGAATCTCTGATTATTCGTTAACTTTTAGTACTCAATAAGTAAAAATAACTTTTAGTACTGCAATAAGAAATATCGACCTAAACAACCGAATAACGGTTCACGAATGCGCATCTGCAATTAATTATGCACACAATCAAAGATCGTAAACCCACAACTGTGAGTACTGTATTGAATCTCGCAAGTGCTGAGATTTGTCTCTCTAGTAATACTTGTTGGGACGAGTGCTTGACCTTGAATCTACCAATCTTCTTTTTTTCAATCTCGTTTAGTCTTGTTATTAAAGCGAATCTCCAAATTAAAATCTTTATTTATATTGTGTTGTTTACACAAACTGTTTTTTTTTGGCCGCTTCTTTTCTTTCACGTCTTTTGAACATCCAAACTTTAACTCGAAATTTCCAACGCCATTGAAAGAAATATTATAATAGAAAATTTGTTATTCTCGATTTACCTATATGAATTATTTCATATTTGCTTTTTTATCGTATATAATCTATCGACAGTTGAGTCACGATTGATGCGTGAAGTATTAAAATTGAGAAGTATTAAAATGAAATGTAAATAGAATATTGGAGATGATTGGATATTAAATAATTCTTAAACGAGTACTTCTTTCTCAACATGG